TGATGGAGACTTTAGAGAGGTGGTTATAGCCAGATGGCAGATGCTTTCCTATAAGCGCATGATACTGTCTTAGTTTTGCAGTTGGTGAGAGTTAGTAATTTGCTAAATTAAGATACTCAAAAGGTTTCAATCTACTCTTATAAGATATTAGTTCAGACATAGAAGTAGGCAATTAATAGCTACTCTGAGGTCTAGAACTAGACCAAGATAAGGAAATTAGCCTCTAGACCAGCAACATTCCAATCTATCCAGAGAATACTGCAGTGCAAATCAGTCAATCCCTCTTTGCAGATACAGCTTCTTTCCAGAAATTCCAGAGTTCACAGTAGGGACTGCTCCAAAGTCACAGTATAGCTTTGTTGTAACATTTTCCATGTCAAAAAAAAATCCAGACCCTACCCTGGGTGAAATGACAGACTCTAGATATCCTCTATGTGGAAGGAATTGGCAGTAGGGTGGAAGGCCTGGGGGGAAGACAGGGGGGTGCAGGAGGAGGGGAGGGATCCAACAGCATCAACAAGATATTTTGCTTGTCAAATCCTGTACTCCATATTTTATCACATCATTCATCTATCCCAAATCACTAAGAATAAAAATCAGCTAAAATGCGGCTCAGTGATTATGACTGTGAAAGTGCAGTTTTGATGCAAACTGTCTTCTCCATGGAAGACAACTGGGGTAGTTGTATTTTTTTAATTTTTTATTTTAATTTTAAATAGCTTGTTTTACATGTCAATCCCAGTTCCCTCTCCCTCCCCTTCTCCCGCAACTCCCCATCACCCCCCCAACCTCCCACCCTATTGCCAATTCCTTCCACATAGGGGATATCTAGAGTCTGTCATTTCACTCAGGGTAGGGTCCAGGCACTTCCCTAAGAGTCCAGGCTGAGAGAGCGTCCCTCTTTGTTCTATGGGCACATGATGTCTGTTTGTATTCCAGGGATAAACACTGATCCACTTCCCAGGGTCCCATAGGTTGCTCAGGCCTCCTCACTGACACTCACAATCAGGGAGTCCGGATCAGTCCCATGCTGGCCTCCCAGCTGTCTGTCTGGGGTCCTAGAGCTCTCCCCCTTTCAGATCAGCTGTCTCTGCTGGTTTTGCCAGCCCATTCTTTGCCAATTTGCTCAACGCTCCTCTCTCTCTATCACTGGGTTCCTTGGGTTCAGTTCAGTGCTTAACTGTGAGTGTTTGCCTCTGCTTCCATCAGTCACTGGATGAAGGCTCCGGGATGGTTATACACATCAAGTTTAGGGGAGAGCTCTTGAACCACAGACCAACAGCAGGGAGGCCAGCTTTGCCATGCTAAGGGCTAACACACTGTGCAAGGTCCTCAAGGGATAGAGCCAAGGTATGCCTGGATGCTAACAAAATCCCCTTTGATCTCCTTGATGGAGAATACCATGGAAAATTACCAGACTCTATTCTGAATGGTCATTTTTGGAGGGCTACTCATAACATTTGACAGTTTCATAAAATTAAATTTAATTGTTTTTCACCCCATTTTCCTCTCTCAACCTCTTTTTTCTCCTATTAGTACCCTTTTTCTCAACAAATCCTTCTATTTTCATGTCTTCTTGCATGTGACCCACAGAGTTTAATTAGATTGACTTACCTGAGCATGGGTGGGAGGGTGTTTAGCAAGGACAACTATCAGTGGCTACACCATTGAAGAAAATGATATGGGTTCCTCTAACAACTCTTAACTGCCAGAATTCTTCTGAAAGGAGTTAGGTCATCCCCAAAAATATGTTGTATATATTAATGAAATTTTCAAGACAAAACAAAAAAACAAAAAAATGTTCCCAGAGGAATTCTTGTCACACACTATTCAGGATTAAGAGAAAAGTCATTGAGAAGCTATGACCTGTTCTGAAGACTCATTATTTTTCCTCAATCAACTATACATTTCCAAGGCCCAAATTCTACATTTTATAACCTCCCAATGATGAACGCCTCAGTGAACTAACCCGTGTTTAGCTCAAAGCCCTCATGATCCATTTACTTTACCAGAGACTCTAGGACCAAGTCCTCAACACAGAGTCATTGAGGACATTTTATATCTGAACCACATCTGAGTCAGAAGTAATAGTTGTCCTCCTTGGTATGTCCCAAACTTGAACAAACAAAGAAATGTAAGAGAGGATTCTTTTTCAGCATGCTGATCACTACTAAGCTCTTGTAATTTGATAGGATTAGCACAGCAGAATATCATATTTTGAGATGACACTTTCTGCCCTCCCTCAATGAGAAGAGCAACAGAAAATTCCCTTCTCAAACTCAACTGTAATTTTATTAAGAGACAACTAGAAAGTGTGTGTATAAATAAATAAACAATACTGTTGTTGCCAAGATAAAAAGTAAGAGTTTTAATTATGGTAAACTAATACTATAGTATATTAAGCTTTAATATCACTTGTGCTTCCAAAGGAAATTCATCGTAATCTGTTATTAATTAATATAGCATTGTATACAGTATTACCCCCCCAAGAATATTATACCATTTATATTTTAAAGTTAATTAAAAAATATTACTGACTTAAAAGCTCCAGTTTCCCATTGGATCTGAAAGGGCAGATATAATTAATTGTAATTTCTTACCTATGGAGCTATAAATGTCATTTCAATCTACTGTTGATTTTAATCAGTGTTTCTTTATTTATATTCAATTGGAAATCACATGCTGAGTAACTTCATTTGGTTTAAGTCAGAATAAGAACAGGTAGTAAAATCTATGAATTAAAAATTTCACCTCTCACATTGGAATTAATAAGCTTGAAAATTCAGAATGTAAGTATGAAGATACTGAATAAATATATACATATAATTTCATAAAAATGTAGTCCAAATCAACAGACAAAACACAGTGATAGTTATTTTTTTATACTTATTATATGTGTGTGTGCCATGGTGCATGTGTAGAGACCAGAAAAGAACTTTTGGGAAACAATTCTCTGATTCCACTATATGAGTACCAGAGTTTCAGATGGGTATTAGCCATCATGTGATTGCTGGTAAATGAAACTGGATCCTTTGCTCTTAACCTTTAATACATCTCTCCTGCCTCAGGAAGTGTTTAATTTGACTTACAGTTCAAGAGGATACATTCCATCCTGGTGGGAAAACATGGTGACTCAGTAGGAGGTGGTTGGTCATATTGCATCTGAAGTAAGAGAGCAAAGTGAACAGGAAGTGCTGCCAGGCTATATAACTTCAAGGCCCACTCCCTGTGACCCACTTCCTCTAGCATGGATCCACCTCCTGAAGATCATAAAGAACCCAAATAGTACTACCAGCAGGGGACCCAGTGCTCAAACAAATGAGCTTAGGGGAAAATTCACATTCAAATCACTATAGCTGGCCAAGTGTGCCAAGAAGCAACTAGTCAGAGAAATCCTAAGGATCACAGACTCTGCATGACTCTGGGACTGTCTTGAAGGCTTCCTGACCAATACTAGCTAGCATGCAGACACACTGTGATTATTAGCCTTTCATCCCTCTCTGAGGGGACTCTGGCCAGCAGTATTCTTTAGTAACTCATAATTTAAGTTAATTTTTAGTTCTTTTTTAAGACTTGAAAATCTGGGTTTCTTCTGCAGGCTGGAAGAGAAGTAGGTATCTGGTAACTATTAGTTTATGACGATGACATCAAAGCATAGCAGGCATAGACTAAAGCAGTAGGGGACCCCCCACTCCAAAGAACATTCAGCAAAGAAACTAATTAAATAATCATAATAATAAACAGGATCAATGGCAGAAATAAAGAGCAGATTATGGTGAACAGTATAGGGGTGTGTGTGTGGGGGGCTGTCACTGGCAAAACATAACAGGGTTTGGAGAAATGAAGTTTTGTTCTTGTGTATGAAGTTCTCCATGAGAAGGAATATCTGAAGACTACTGCAGAACTGTTAGATGCAGAATCATGGTGATGATTCGATTCGGGGACTGAAGTCAATCCTTTTGGCTATAGGAAAGAGGTTTAGGAAGCTGTAAGGCCTCTGGCCTGGCCACTGCTCAAAAGGAATCTAGAGTTCTCTGATTTTCTAAATTGTCTTCTGTGCCACTGGAACAATGAGATAAGGAAGTTGACAACAGTGAAACAGGACAAGCTGAAGGTATTAATCATGAAACCTGACCTTCTTAAAAGAAAGTGAAGCTGGAGGAGGATCAATGGGGAGAATGTGCTGTCAGTTGATGAGGGCAAACCTGCCTGTCCCATTGAATCAGCAGATACCCTTTGAAGTTCCAGCAAAACTTACAGAATATGTCTGTGAAATAAGATATTAAGGAAAGAAAAGTCTTGCTTTATTTCCAAAGATCAGAAGAATTCTCATTTGGAAATAGCAGTTTTGTCTGCCACCATTAGAGTTGACACTTGCTTTAGAAAGACAAATTGCCTGTCTGTCCTTAGTAGAAATTGATACTGACTTTGGACATTTCTGAGCTCCTTGGTGGACTTATAGTTCAAAGTTTATGCAGTTTCAAAGCAGTCTGATTTCATTAACTATACCCGATGCTTGCTCAACAGTTCAGTAATTTTTAGCTATCACATGTAGTAATTCCATTTGCTGAGTAAAAAATGATATAAAATTTACAGTTCATACACAATGTTTGAACTCTTTCAGAAATTCACTCTCTTTGTGACTTATCTACAATCAAGCTGATGTGGCCTCATAGGTTTTAATTAACTTTGGAGCACTTGTCTTTATATTCCCAGCAATAATTGCAATACCAGTTTTGCATAAGTCCACCAAAAGCCCAAGTTTTTCCAACATGGTTAGTATGTTAATGAATACTATATAAAGTAAATCACTCATTTACATTGGTCAAATATCCATTAAATCATTTCATTGATAAGCCATCAACACATGACTGCAGTTGAGTTCTGTGTTAAAAATTATTTCAAGGGGTGAAAATGGCATTAGGAGGACTGGATAAGAAAAACCCAGCTCTCTTTGAACATATTTGATCATCTATCTTTCTTTTTTTTCAGTTTTCAGGCAAAAATCCGTCAATCCGAATGTCTACTTCTACACACAGGCATGAAATCTAATCCTGTTACTTTGTAATTGAACAAGACGTGCTTCCTGTGATATTAATGCACTTTCAGAAATTTTGACGTTAAAGGCCATGTCTTAAAGCAACAACCCACTGAATTTTTGCATGTGGAAAATATGACATGCTCTACTGCTTTTGGTAATTACTGCATCACTGCCTGGCATCTTTAGTTTGTTTTTGCAAATGCTGCTGAAGGGGTAAGCATTAAGGAAAACAAGGTTCCAGAAGATAAAATCCTGGTCTGGGTAAATTACATATGAAATAAAGCTATCTATAACATTTAGAATAGATAGTCTCTTCATTTATAGAAAACATATAGTTGAGGTGAATATGTCTTAGACTAGGTTTACCAAGGATACAGTACAAGGAAGAGCTCACAAAAACTGTCTTTTCTGGAAGGTAGTCCTAGGAAGAAAATGTTCTTAATGAAGAATTGAGTAATCCAAATGTACCTGAGGCCACTGGCCTCAATTTCATTTGAAACTCTAGAAAACATGTGTTGTGGTTTGGCTATCTCTCTTTGCAAATCCAGAAACTGAATTTAAAGGCTAATGAGGTATCATTGAAAGGTACCAGGTTTCCAGGATGTCATAGCCAAAAGTTATCCATCCTCATAAATGTTACCAACATTCTTACAGAAGAGGCTGTGTGCAGGACTTTATTTCTTCCTCTGGCATCATCTGTCATGCAAAGACACCTAGATAGTGCCAGAGGCATTCCTTCTTACAACTCTTAAGACTGCTACACCTTGAGGAGTGCAGTCAATGTTGAACATGAAAGGATATATGTAAGTGAGCATCCAAAGAAAGCTTAGCCCTTCAGAGCAGTGGTACACATCAGCCAGAAACAGGGTGCATGCAGTGATTGTGCAAGGAGGACAAATGGGAGCCTGAACTTAGTGTGCATTTGTCCCTCTACAGGTGCTGGTGCCTTGGTCTTGAAAATTTTGACCTCCATCATGAGAGACATAATGTATGTTCACTAATTAAACTCATATCTGAGAAAGGTTGAGATCCACTCACGTTCTCACACCTAGATTGTCACTCACCATTCTCTCCCACTTCTATCCTTTACTACTCACAGCAGAATTACTATAAACTATTGATTGTTTGGAGGACAATGGATTACATCCTAATCCATAGCTATTATCAAGCCCTAGAACCTAGATTCTGATAATGCTGTCAAATTATGAATGAATCATTTCTAAATTCATTAGTTTGCTTGGCACTAAATATAAATTCAAATAAAAAACATGAAAAGTGTTATCCAAAGTTGTTTAAAACATGATTTAATTTTTAAAAAATCAAATATATGTTTGTGCATGTCTATTTTGGCACTGGAAAATTGATAGATTAAAAGTAATCAGTACTTAATACCATTTCTTTTGACTTGCCCTATATTAATTTTATATATATGCCTATATTTGTTTATCCATAAAATTAATGCACATGTTTATGTACCTATGAATCTTCAAATATAGTCATATTGAGCACACTGCCCTGAATTTTATATTTTTATTATCTACTAGAATATTGTGAGTGTTCTTCAAAGTCAGCATGTGTATTCATTATGCACCAAAAATGACAGCTTATCTTTCCTAAGTTTATTTGTGGGAAAATAACACAAATCACCATAACTTCCAAATTTTTGTAGCTTAAAGGGACAAATGCATTTTTGTACAGTCACAGAAAATCCAATTGCCTATGAATCATCTGTTCATGAATTGATTTAGAAGCCTGGATGTTCCATTTGTGGCTTTGCCATTCTGACACAGGGTTACACTTTGAACCTTTTCCAAGTAGCTGACAGACTGGGCAATGGGGGAGATGATATGGAGCTTGCTCAAAGTCAAGTTTGATATCTATCACCAGCATTACAACTGGAGGACAGAGATAGACAAACTACCAAAGGAAAGGACAGGCATGACTGGTTCTACCTCAGTTAGCATCTGCTGTGTAGGATATGAATGTACTTTTATATATCCCACCAGAACCTTGGACCCATATCCACGAAGATAGCGAAAGACTTCACCAGCACCAACTGGAAGAAGGGATGGGAAGATGACAGTATAAGAACACATTCAACAAAATAAATATCAATATGTATTCATTAACTTCTTTTGTGTACGATTTTCATTTTTTTTTTTTTTTGGTTTTTCGAGACAGGGTTTCTCTGTATTGTTTTGGAGGCTGTCCTGGAACTAGCTCTGTAGACAAGGCTGGCCTCAAACTCACAGAGATTTGCCTGCCTCTGCCTCCCAAGTGCTGTGATTAAAGGCGTGTGCCACCAACACCCGGCCGATTTTCATTTTTTTATTTGATTCATATTACTACAGTGAACATAAAGATACAAGTGCCCTTGAAAACATACTGGCTGTTTAGATCATTGCTTGTTCTTGAACCAGTAGAATTAATGTAAATATTGGAAGGGCATGATGGTTAACCTATAATCCAAGTTTGCGGGGGATGAAGAAAGGAAATCCAGAAAAAAGCTTCTGTGTGCTTGATATCTTGCAAGTCAACTCTGGCTTTAAAGATGATTTCCCTTAATATATAAGGCAGAGCTGTGGAGGGAGACATCTGAGGTCAACTTCCATTCTCTCTCTCTCTCTCTCTCTCTCTCTCTCTCTCTCATGCACACACACACACTCCCTCAAGAATGTCTTCCAGTTGTCTTGATGCAAAATGCAAATTTTTTTCTTTGTCTTAGACTTCTATTCATTTTTATTATTCTATTTCATCTTTGTTTTCAGTTATTCTTTTTAAGTTTTAATGATCTTGAACATTACTGTAATATTTACCAAAGAGTAAATATTGGAAAAATTGAAAAATTTATAAAGTGTAAGAGGGAAACCTTTTCCCATTGTTTCTTTTATAATCTCTTTCCACATGTAAATATTTAAGGACAACATTTCTGCACCATATATATGCAGGGGACATATTTAACACTTTCATCTGAAGTAGAATTCTGATTAAATAATCAGATCCTGTTAGCTTATAACTATGCATTCTTTACTTAAGACTTAACACATGCTGATCAATATGATTTATGCAGGTAGTTGATATGATTATAATGATAATTTGGCATAGGAAATGTTTTATATTTCTAACATACAAAGGTTGCTGATAAGATATGGTATATTCCATGGTCAGTGTTGGTCATGTATTTATAAAACTGGATGTTATACAGGACTGTCCTGTTTAGTCTGAGAAAAAACATCTACTTTATTTTGAAACCACGCAAGCCTTCCCTTCTTGTGCATCTTTATTTTTATTTGTAAAGAGTATTTTACTACCTAATATGTATTGAGCTATTTTATACATGTTTCTTAAGTAGTGAAAGACAGAATTGTCCCTAGAACTTTGGATTTCACATTCTTTTATGGCTTACTACTTTTATTATATTTAATTACTGTATGTGAGAGAGACAGACAGACAGAGAGAGAATGAGAGAGAGAGAGAGAGAGAGAGAGAGAGAGAGAGAGAGAGAGAGAGAGAGAGAGAGAGAGAGTCATGACATGGTGCTCTTGCGGAAGTCAGAGAACAATTTGCAGGACTCACTTCTTCTTTCCATATTGTAGGTCCTGGGATTAAACTTGGGTCACCAGGCTTGGAAGCAGGTGACTCTGTCCACTGAGCTATCTTGCAAACCCTGTATCTCGTATGCTAATTATTGGAGAAAATAAATGTGAACATATATCAGAGATGCATTTGAGTTTTTACATGGTAAGAAGGAAGATGTAGGCACTACTGAAATTCACTTTCCTTTGCTCATTTTCATTTGACAAGATACTACAAAGAAGATTTTCGATTTTAAGAGTATAGCTCAACAATATCAGCTTCTCTAGCTGCTCCCTATTTTGGGGGCATTGTGAAGTAGGAGGTGCTTCGACAGTGGTGCAAGAGTAGTTTGATGAGACCACAGTAACATCTGGGAGCTGAGCAAGGAGAGTCCTGTTGTCTTGATCCAAGCTAATCCTCTCTTAGAAGGAGCAGGAAAGGAGACTTAGCATGAAGCAAGAGTATTGAAGAGACCTAGAGGAGATGAAATGGAAGGGTTTTGTACCAGGACTGTGATACATTCAAGGAATATGTAAATGGATGAATCCAACTCTGCCTAGAGATGCCTGGGGTATGGGGGATTCAGGTGCAAAGATAATAACTGAGAAAAAAATTCAAATTGGGCTTTAAAATGGGTGGCTTCTGTCACATAATCATTTGGGAATGCATAACCTAGAACTCAATTAAGTGGCTTATGGAGGAGGCTAAAATTGTGGGTGTCATTTGCAAATTCATGATGCTGCATTGCCTGTGGATAGTGTTGACGTACATAGAGAAACAGCCCAGAGTGTTCCTAGGAGAAACTTCATAGCGTGAGAAAGTGTGATAGGAGTGACAGTGGAAGGAGGAAGGCATATACTGAGGATGAAACTCCAGGAGAGACTCTATTACAGAAATCAAGAAGAGGAAGCAGTTACAAGGCACAATAAGGCAAGATATTTACTAGGATATTTTTATAATTTAAAATCCCATTATGTTTAGAATACAGAAACTTTATCTTTCACAGTAATTAAAAGGTAAAGAGACCATTGGAGACAGGAATTAAAACCTAATGCACATGCGTGCATGTGCACACACGCACATACACATACACACACACATTTGGAATTTAGAGTAGAAGTCACACTGAACATAAATTAACAATGATATAAAGGCAGCTGCTTCCAGTCAACCTCCAGTAGAGAGACAGAGAGGTGAGTGCCAGAGAGGCCCTCCCAGGCCACCTTTCCCTCTCCCAGTGGCCACCAGATCCTTCCTGCTACCAAATCCCCTAGAGAGATCTGGAGGCAGTACAAGGTAGCCAGCATCATCAGCCACCATTCCTGTCTTGACCCTCTACCCTCAGGGAGCGAGGGAGACAGAGAAAGAGAAACAGAGACAGAGACAGAGATAGAGAGAGGGGGGGCGAGATCCCACCTCTACCCACTGAAGAAGAAATGGAAGACAACAGTATAAGAACACATCCAACAACAGAAAGAGTTATATGATGCCACCAGAGTTTAGGGATTCTATACCAGAAAGACCAGAACATTCCAATGCAGATGAAGCAGAAGAAATAGACCTCAAAAACAACTTCATGAAAATGATAGAGGCCCTCAAAGAGGATTTTCCTTTAAAAAATGGAAGAAAAAAAAACAAACCAAAAATGCAAAAAAAAAATCAATAAATCTCTAAAAGGAAACAAGGAAAACCAAGAGAAAACAATCAAACAGATGAACAAAACTATTCAAACATTTCAAGACATGAAAACTGAAATAGAGATAAAAAAGAAAACACAAACTGAGGGATTGCTGGAAATAGACAAGCTAGGTAAATGATGAGGAACTACAGATGCAAGCATAACCAACACTATAGATGGAGAAAACAAGATATTCCATGACAAAACCAGATTTAAATAATACATATCCACAAATCCAGCCCTACATAAAGTTCTAAAAGGAAAACTACAAACCAAGGAAATTAACTACACTCATAAGAACATGGACAATAGATAATCACACTTTACCAAAAGCCAGAAATAGGGAAAAACTCACTCACAATACCATCACCAAAAACAAATCTGAAACAAACAAAAATAAGCAACCAATAGTCATTAATATCCCTCAGTATCAATGGTCTTAATTCACCTATAAAAAGACACAGGCTAACAGAATGGATACAAAGACAAAATCTATCCTTCTACTGCATACAAGAAATGCACCTCATCTTCAAAGACAGACAATACCTCAGAGTTAAGGGTTGGGAAAAGATTTTCCAAGCAAATAGCCTTGAGAAGCAAGCTGATATAGCAGGCTATGTAACAAATTATATTTCAAACTAAAATTAATCAAAAGAGATGAAGAAGGTAATTTCATACTCATCACAGGAGAAATCCATCAAGGTGAAGTCTCAGTTCTGAAAATCTATGCCCCAAATACAAAGGCACCCACATTCCTCATAAAAGAAATATTAGTAAAACTGAAATCACATATTAAACCCCACACACTTAGAGTGGGAGACTTCAACAACCCACTGTCACCACTGGACAGGACTACCAGACAGAAATTTAACAAAGGAACTAACAGAAGATATGACCCAATTGGGTTTTACAGACATCTATAGAACATTCCATCCAAACACAAAAGAATATACCTTCTTCTCAGCACCACATGGAATCTTCTCTAAAATCGAGCACATACTCCACAAACCTCAACAGGTACTAAAAAAATTGGAATAACTCCCTGTATCTTATCAGATCACCACAGTTTAAAATTAGAATTCAACAACAACACAAATTTCAGAAACCCTACACACTCATGGAAATTGAGCAATGCTCATTTGCTTCACTCCTGGGTAAAGGAAGAAATAAAGAAAGCAATCAAAGACTTCCTAGAATTCAATGAAAATGAAGGCATAACATACCCAAACATATGGGACATACTGAAAGCAGTGCAGTGCAGTGCAGGGAGGAAAGTTCATAGCACTAAGTGCCCACATGAAGAAACTGGACAATAGCCACATTAGAGAATTCACAGAATACATAAAAGCTCTAGAATAAAAGGCAACTCACCCAGGAGGAGTAGATGCCAGGAAATAATCAAATTGAGACATGAAATCATTGAAGTAGAAACAAAGAAAACAATACAAAGAATCAATGAAACAAAGAGTTGGTTCTTTTGAAAAAATCAACAAGGTAAACACACCTTTATCCAACCTAAACAAAAGACACAGAGAGAACATGCAAATTAACAAAATCAGAAATGAAAAGGGTGACTTAATAACAGACTCTGGGGAAATCCGGATAATCAGGTCATACTTTAAAAATCTGTACTCCTACAAATTGGAAAAATTAAAAGAAATGGAAAATTTTCTGGATAGATATGACTTACCAAAATTAAGTCAAGAACAGATAAGCAATTTAAATAGACCTATAATCCCTAACGAAATTGAAGCAGTAATCAAACGTCTCCCAACCAAAAAAGGCCCAGGGCCAGATGACTTCAGAACAGAATTCTACCAGAAATTCAAAGATTTAATACCAATACT